TAATAATAATTACCATACTTTTTATGTTTTTTGGATAAATTATAGTTTTTATCGTGACGCTTGTGGGATTTTTTTTTCTCTCGGTGTACTGATAATTTTTTTCGTCTATTTGCTAGACTTTTATGGCAGTGAACTAAAATTTGAAATTATCACCAGAGCTGAGATGGGTCTGGAAATCACCAAAATCTGTAGATACACACACGTGTATATTTAACGACTACGATGAAAGAAAAATAACTAAAATGGTCACGAAAACGCGAAAAAAAATCAAGCATTTAAAGCTAGCTCGTGGCTTTTATTTTCTATTTACGTAAACACATCGTAAAAACGCCGATGGTGTTAAAAAAAAGAAAATACTATTAATTATTTGTTATGAAAATTCCTTAAGCTTTTTCTTACCTCAATTTTTTTTTTCTATTTTAAATATTTATTCCATCACGAAACTGGAAAAAATGTTAACTTTAATCTCACGACTACTTCTCACTGATCCAATTCGAAAATTAAAAAAAAAAACTACCAAAACATTTTACATGTTGATATAGTCATTAAGATACAAAGATTGTACGTAGAGAAATAGAGGAGACATATGAGATGTGTTAAGTACACACCACCAATAAAAATCGTAAAGGTAAATATTTTTCATTAAAAACGGGTGGCTAAGGAAATTAAAAAAAAAAAAAATTTCTTTAAGTAGATACGATCCCGAAACTGTTTGCTCAAAACGAATAAAAAAATTCTATTGTATAAAATCCCGTTGAGAAAGTCTTTCTCTACAGTTTCGCTTGCAACATACGTATTATAAACGTTTTCCTTATCAGTTTGTAACGATTCAATAATTTGTTATACGTTTTGATTTTTTTGTTGAAATTTTAATCGTAAAAAATATTCCTAGTCTAGACATATTTTTAGCAAAGATTTATTTTTAACCGATGTAAAGAGAAGCAAAAAAGAAAAACAAGCCAATCGTGCAAGAAAGAGTTAACAAAAAAAAATAAAATAAAATCCACAAAAAGTGCACAAATGTGGTAGGTACATACATGTATACATTCGTCCGTGTGAACAAAAAAAAAAAACCTAGATAATTGCATGGTTTCCGACAAATTGGCTGCGCGAATGTCTGGATGAATACTCTGTGCGTGTATGCAGTCATCAACTTGCTACTCGTTTGAGTATGTAAAAAAAAAAAAAAAAAAAAAGGAAGGATGTGGATGATGATGACGATGAGCAAAGCAACAAAAAACACAGTGCACTATGTACTGTATTGATTTCATTGACCATCAAAAGTCAATGGTAAATCAAAAATCGCGTACACGATCGGTATTGTGTTTTTGCAAATTTAACGGTACAAAAAATATGAATAAATTAAAAAAAAAAAGGATTCACGAAAAACAAAACAAAATCCAGCTCGACGCGGTTTATCCGAGCTACACATTATACCCACGCACATAATATCGTCTCGGTGGAGCTGCAGCCGATGCAAACGAACAAAAGCGCCGGTGCAGACGTACGATCCGCACCAACAATGAAGGCCCCCTTTCATTCGGCTCGTATAGGTACATTGTACCCGTGCAACTTTACGATTTAACGTGTGTGCAACTTACGCGCGCGTCGTATAGCATACATATACGCACAAAAGAACATCTCGTTTGTACGTGCATTCATATAGGTAATATACCAGTGGATAAATGAATTACACAAACACGACGGCAATGTGATTGCGACTTCTCCGTGTGCGAGTGGGTACCTACTTTGTTCATAAATATGGGCTTTGATGTATCGTGGAGGTTTTGAGTCATACGACCATCTTTTGTGTATGTACATATTGGTTCGTGTGTGTATAATGCACGCGAGTGGGTGGATGTTTTTGCTTTTTGTTACGTGCAACCATCGAGTATCTTTGAGATAAACACTTTGATCGGTAATACAAAGACGGAGGGGATATTGTTGTAAAAACATTTTGTAGCCTTGACTGTAAAAATGACGCCGTTGCTATCAGTGTCGAGGACTTGATAACAACAATAAAGTGTTTTATTTTTGATCGTATCAGTAAAAGTTACAATATTTATAACAATTTCATCGGCAGGTTATCTTCAAATTAACTGTTTTTCGGAGCTACTGTGTTTTAGAGTCAAGGCAATGCGGTATACCAATTGTTGTTGTTAACAAAACGTCAGTGACAAATAAAATAAAACGAGAATTGTTGAAAGCTTTTTGATGGTCGGCACGACTTATCAGAGCTTCTGATCAATTTTCGGTACTTAAATGCGAAAAAATATCTTTCTTGGTTTATTATTTAATGTGAGAAAATTTCAGTGGTATCTAATGAGCAAGTTTTTTTTTTTTAAGATTTTGAATTTTTTCGTTTGTATGAGACTTTTTGTCATTTTTTAAATAAAATATTACTTCATTTTAAGTAAGTTTGATGCGACCTTCAATTAAAATTTTCTGTCTTTAGTGGGAAATTTTTTTTTTACTTTTTGAAATAATCAGTAAAATGAATTGTGCATATTTTTTCAAACGATGCAATTATATGGAATATACTTTAGTTATACGTATTATATGTTGGATATCATATTTATATTACATATGAAGAAAACAAGATACCACAAAACAACCCTCAAGATTATCAGTACCAATTGCTGTACGAGGTTTAGAAGTAACAAGAAAAGTAAGTGATAAAATAAAAATTGTTTTGAAAAATTTAGAACAAAATAAATCTAGAATAATCTCAGGGAAACAGTATACCAGACGAGTCAGCAGCGTTAGCTGGAAGAATTCGATGATAATTGGTATAAACTCGCGTGCTGTCACACGCTCGAAACAAACTCTGTAGCGCTTGTGCCGCGAGATAACTCACTCGTGGTAAATCGTAGCGAAAACCGTGGATACACATAACACGCAAATTAGGCAAACGAGCAAGTGACTTGAACACGCAGTGATTACATGTACCCACATGTCCTCGTAAACAACCGTATAGCTGCTCGTTATCAAAAGCGTTGCTGACGAGGATTGGTTGCACTTACATAATCACCGGCTATGTTTATTTCTTATTTTTTCACCGCAATCACCGATTTCCGAGTGTTATTAAATTATTTTGGGTCTTAACGAAATTACGCCGATCACGTGCGTATAATTATTACATTTCATGTGCATCCGGTTGAGAAGTCTCATCGGATCTTGGATAATTACCTTGATTAACGAGCATTGATCAAGTTGCCTCACGAGATTTGACAACAAGAAATACGAAAATCATTCCATGAAATTTCATACAATGTGTGATGTACATGCATGATGTCGATTATTAGAACATTCACTTAAATTTTGAAGATCTTTTCCTTGTTTTTAGCCCACTACGTGTGTAACCCATGAGATTACCAAATTATAAAACTAAAATCTAGCTATTGTTCTTTATTT